AGCTGCCCCACCTCCTCTATACCTGCCCCTGCCCCCTCACTGCCTGCAGGCTCTGTGGCGCAATGGATAGCGCATTGGACTTCTAGCTGCTCTGAGGAGAGATTCAAAGGTTGTGGGTTCGAGTCCCACCAGAGTCGCTGTTTTGGAGGTTCAGGTTCTTCTTGGGATGAGGTTAGACTGTGTGACGTGAAGTTTAATGTGTCTCTGAGCTGCAACGATCCCGTTACTGTCCTCCGATAGGTGATTATTGATCAGTGATCACTCGGCCGCTCTGGTCTCGTACAGCTTCAGGTCTCAGTCAGATTTAGAATCAGAGCAGAGAGGAGCTGATCTGGGGGTTTGCTGGATCTTACCTGAGACACCTGAGCAGGTGGACTCACACTCCTCCAGGGTGTTGAAGTTGTTTCCGTTGGACTCACAGCCGCCGTAGACGAAGCTGCTGCAGGTCTGATTGGTGACGTCGTAGAAGAACCTGGGAAAGGAGGCTCGGCAGGAACCCACCTTCACAGGCAGCCGGCAAAGGACTGGAGACACACAACAGACACACAACAGACACACAACAGACACACATTAATAAATCTCATGTCCGACCTTCGTCACAGACTGAACCTGAAAACTCTGAAACCTGCAGTGAAACAGGAAATGACATCACAGTTCTCATTGATCAGCTGTTTCTATCTGAATAATTTACTCCCTAAATCCGCTTTGGTCTCATAAAACAAGTGTCGGTCAGACCTACGCCTCAGCGTCCTCAGGTGAGTTAGCCTGGGGCTTACAGGTGAGTTAATTCAGGGTTTACAGGTGAGTTCCCTCAGCGTTCTCCGGTTCAGAGACTGCTGCTCTCGGGTGTTCTGTTGAACTTGTGGGAACCGGACCGACCGGTTTGACCTGACGGAGAACAAACAGCGACAGATTTACCTGCAGCAGTGACTCAGTGACTACCTGCACAGGTGACATCAGACGAGGAAATGAGCTCAGATTCAGAGGATCCGACGTTAAAGTCGGACTGCGACAGTAAACATCTGACCAACAGGTGAAACCAGCTCATTGGATGAACCTGTAAACTGGGAGCGAACCGTCTGACCAGCAGCGTTCTGGGAACTTCTGACTGTGTGAATTTAAACTCTGATCCAGTCGATGAAGACGTGGTTCTGGAGCGAAGGCCCGTCAGACTCACAGACATCTTCCTGTTCCAGTTTATCAAACTGGTGGATCAGAACCGTGTCATGAATCTGCTTCCTTATTCTGACATGTTTGTAGCTGTTGGTTTGTAGAAACACACGACTGCACTTTGGTTTTGAATTAATTTCCTAAACGACATGAAAAAGTCACAAAAGTAGTGAAGAAAATCTCACTGGTTAGTTTTTAAACGTTTGTCATCCTGAAAACTTTACTTCATGATCATTAGAATTGGACACGCAGCAGCGAAGCTGTGGGCCGAACAGAACTTCATCAGAAGCTGCCTGATTAAAAACTTTAATAGAAATTATCGTAAATGTTTTACATCTTTATTCTATTTACTGATATTTAAATTGTGATTTAAGCTGATTTCTGAACAAACCAGCCGACCAGCTGATGACGTGTGAACTTACACAACGACAGTCGGTGAGAACAAACCACAGAACTCTGACCCGCATTCAGAGGAATTTAATCTGCTGATCTGGTTCTGCTGGTGGAGGTGACGAGACGAGATGGAAACTTGTGAGTCTTTAAAACAAGTGAACTACCTTCTGGTTGGTTTTATTTTCAGAAGGACTCAAACTAACCATGATGGAGGTTCATTCAAGTTCCTCCACCTGCAGGTTCTGTCTGACGTTAAAGCAGCTGGAAGCTAAATGAAGAAAGTAAGTAAAAGTCAGTGGGTCTGTGAGTCACCAGAACCTCTCCAGCTGACTGAACAACTAACTGATCAATAAGCATCATCTTCTGTTCAGAGACTTGATGACTGAAGCTGCGACCAATGAGCTCGTTCTGCTGATTAGGAATCCATCAGTCTCCCAAAGTCTTCATTTGGTGTCATGGAGACAGAAACCAGGAGAAGTTCACGTTTAAAGAACCCGTTTTTAATAAAAGTCACTCAAACGGACTCCTCAGTGATCAGAACCGCCTGATCGTTAACATCTGAAGGTTCAGAACATAAAACTGAACCTGAATCTGATGTGAAGCAGCTCAAAGTCGAAATGTGAAGAGGTTCTGATGGTTCTGGTGGTTCTGATACGGAACAACAGGTGGCTGGAAACACACCTGGACTTCCAAAGTCCAGTGATGGACTGTAACCCGGTGGGAGAGCAGGCCCATGAGGAGGCATGTCGGGTTGTCTCTGACTCCTGGACGTCACCTGCGTAGGTAAACACAGACTGGACCGGCAGCATTCCTCCTGCTCACCTGCTCAGGTGTGACTCACTGATCAGCTCAGGGGAACTTCACCCTGAACCTCCTGGTTCCACATGTGATCAGCTGCATGATCAATAACCTTCAGTATGGATCACAGGCAGGTGTGTCTACGTCGGTTCTGTACGGTTTTATTCATCTGATCCATGATTACAACCTAATCAATCACTACGATGACCTCATTAATCATTATGATCACTCATCAATCAGCGTGGTGTGAAACTCGGCCCACGTGACCAGCTCACCTGCTGCTGAGCACCGGCTGTTGGACGGTACCTGATCAATAACCAATAATGGCCTCACCGTGGCTGGACTCGTTGTTCCGCGGCTCCAGATGCAGAAGCGGGACGACGTACGGAGTCGGTCCGGCTTCCAGAGCCAGAGCCAGAACCAGGCCGGAGCCGAGCAGCAGGCCGAGCGGCAGTATCATCCTCACAGCGAGTCCGTTCGAACCGAACCGAGTCACACCGAGTCTCTGGACGGGACTTGTTCCGAATCACACCGAGTTTCTCCTCCGCGAGCAGCGAACGTTCACTTCCGTGTCTGATGGCTTTTTGTTGTCGCAGAAACTTTTACCTGAGCGACAGGTGAGGTCACCGAGGCCCCGCCCCCTGCGTCTCACACACACACACACACAGACAAACACACACGAGAGGACACACACGTACACACAAGCACACACGAGCACTGACCCGGTTCTCCCGCAGGAGGCGCTCCTACGTCACTCAGTGTCACACTGAACCCAGCGGCACTAGGACCCAGCAGGTGCTGCATTCAAAGTCTGTTCGGAAA